CCCACTTCTCTCTGCTGCTCACGGTGCATCCACCTGCCTGCCTGCATGCATCCTGCCCTGTCAGCCTCTCTCTCCTCCTCCGCGGCCAGCCGCCTCTCCGTAATTCTGCATGCCTGTCGTTTCTCTGTGTCCGCGAGACTGTGCCTTCCTGTCTCCCACTGCCTCTGTTTGCATCTCCCAGGCTCTGTCCTTCTTGGAACCCGTCTCTGCCTCCCTCCCTCCCTCCCTCCTCGCTCTGTCTGTCTTTCCCTTTCTCTCCCTCTGTCTCTCACCCCCTCTTCTACCTCATCAGCTCTTGGGCCTGCCCCGCCCTCCCTCCCCACAGCCCGAGCCCAGGTGGGCCCCTGGCCTCCTTTGGGCCCCTCCCTTCTCCATTCCAAGAAAAGGGGGAACTGGGGCGTCACAGAGGTGGGGCTGTTGCCAGGAGCAGGGGCAGGACAGGAGGGTGGGGGAGGCAAGTTGGGGCCTGTGGGAGTCAAGGCTGGGGAATAAGAAATGAGGGCTCCTCTGCCCACCCTTCTCTCTAACCCGCCCCCTCTCTCTCCACCCCGAGTCTGTCGGGGGACCCCCCCCCAACCCCCGCCAGGGGCCTTGGCATCCATCTGTGGCACTTACTGGCTGTGTGACCCGGGTCCGATGCCTTCCCAGACCTGAGCCACCTCGGTTTCCTGGTCTGCACAGTCTAGTCACAATCCCTGCGTCTTCGGGCTTGTTATCAAGTCGATCTGCTTCCTGTCGTGCCTCCTCTCTCCTCTAACCAGATGCGGAGCAGGATCGCCAGGTAGGGCCTGGGTTCTGCCCGCAGCCAGCCCTGGCCCCAGACCTCGGTGCTGCCTCTTGCTGCCGCGGTGACGTGGGACGGGGGACTCCACCCCAGCGAGGCTCAGTTTCTTCATCTGTGACCTGGAGGGGCGTGTGTGTGTGTGTGTGTGTGTGTGTGTGTGTGTGTGGGGGGGGGGGAGGGGGGACAGCCCTGCCTTAAGGGGTTGGATGAGGACTTGAAGAGAGCCAAGGACAGACGGTTCTCAGCCCCATGTTCCCACGGCTGTCACGCTCACACCTCAAATTCCTCTTCCAAGTTCTCTCTGCTCCTCCTGGAGAGGCAGGGGGAACAGACCCCAAGGGGCTGGGCAGGACGATTCGAAGACATGGGCTGGGTCCTGGGGCCTTCCGCGGCTGCACTCCACCCTCCGTCATCCTCGTCGCCGGCGCGAAAACAGACCCACCTGCTGCATCCAGTGGTCAAATAATGTAACGTGTGCTCGGCCCCAGCAGAAGCCAGTTGCCATGGGCTGGCTGGCGGGAATGTTACCCGCATGGGGCATTTCATTCAATGGTCACGAATTTTGGCTTCACAGGTGTCGCTTGGTATTTTGCAACCCGTGTATTTTTTTTGTGCCCCCTCCTTCAGGTCCTTAGGCGTATGGGCCCTGGAAAAGCTTACAAGCATTTGGTCCCTCCTCCTGTGGTGTCCGATGAAGAAAAAGGTCCTTTTTATTGTGATAAGTAACTTTTTCTACTCTGTTCCTGTGGGAAATCCCTCCCCATCTGAGATCTCTAGTTCTACACCAGTGAGGAGGGGAGGAACGAATGAGCCCTCCCTTGGTTCTCAACCAGCACGGGGATACCAGACAGACAGACAGAGAGACTCCACCCCTTGGCGAGTTATATTTATTCCAAATGGCCCCACAGGCCCTCCTCCCTGAACTGGGGGCCTTAGAAGGGGGCTGGCTGGAGCTGGAGTTCTGGGAAAGGGGATTTCCCAGATTAAGAAGAGTGAGAGCTGGGGTTGACGATGGAGGAGGTGGCGGCGCTCCGGGGGTCAGAGTGGACCCCAAGCCGGGCAAGGGTAGAGGTAGAAGGAGCCAGTCAGTTGTTCTTGATGACCCCCAGGATCCAGTCCACGTATTTGCAGATGTTGGTGTAGACGCCCGGCATGCCCTCTTGGCCGCAAGGCCCCACGGACCCCCAGGACACCAGGCCCTGAAGGACTCCTCCGCACACCAGCGGGCCACCAGAGTCGCCCTGGAAGCAAAAGGGGGGCAGAGGAGCGAGGCATGAATAGGGGAGCAATCCTCTTGCAGTTGTCCTCTCCCCGGCCCAGGTCTGGGCCTCGAGGACAGTGGCCCCCAACCTGGTGGACAGAAAAAGAACCCAGCCAAGTGCCCCAAGGACAACAGCAATGACTGGACAATGGAGAAGAACACGCTGTTCCCAGGCGCTAGACACAGGGAAGGTGGGCGGGTCTCCACAAAGGGTAGAGAGTTCCCTCAAGAACAATGGCAGCGGCCCTGACCAATGAGGGAAGAGAGCGTGGGCGCCACCAACCAATCGCAGCAAAGGAGGGCGGGACTCCCTAAAGAGGTCTCTGAAGGGCAGTAGGCTGGGGCCCTGGCCAGTAGGGCGGGGCAGGCCTCCTCTCTGGAGGCCCCAAGAGGGCAAGGTAAGCAGAAATGGAGGCTGAGAGCACCCCGACCTCCTTTCCTGCCTCCATCCTGGAATCTCTCACCTGAGCCAGTATCAACCAGAGGAGGACCGTGTGGGGAAGGCTCAGAACTGGAGAGGGAGTAGCTTACCTACCGGAGCGCCCCACATACCGGCTGCTCCTTTACTCTCCCCCATCTCCCTCTCTCTGCCCACCCTCCCTTTCTCTGTCCTCCACTCCCTGGCTCTTCCTCCTGTTCTGTCCCCCTCCCCTGGGCTGTGCCTCCCCTTCTTTCCAACCT